CCAACAACACAGGTTAGATTTGTTTTACATAATCTAAATCATGTTAAATATGTATATGTGTTCAATAATGGTTGCCATGTGTTAGACAAATCTATCAGTATCCGAATCAAAGAGTTATTTGCGCATAATATGATGTATTTTTGTGTCATGAGTGGAACTCGGGACTGTACATATTATACAAACTGTTTCTTCAGCTCAAAATTGTGGTTTTGTATTGGAAACTGGTACATTGCATGTCTGCATGGTAATCTGTAGTGAACGAGTATTGAAGGGATACGCCGTCTCTGTACCCAGCTGTGGCCTCGCACTACACTACGCTAGTGTGTGTACAATTATACTACCCATATCGTCGTTGCGGATCGACTGCCTATACCGAAGGCGAAGGTGTGCGTACGGGGGTTACATTTACATATTCTTACCCCATCTCATCGGTGTTTCCAAAGTATCCACGTGGATATTAACGGCAACTGTCTCGTCTAGGTAATTGTTATTTTCCGATAATACGGATGGCCAGAGATTTTGGGAATACTTTGAGGTAAAAAAAAATGGGTAGCAAGCGATCAAGCAGTCGAAATAACCCCGCAGTCCTACAATAATATCGTAGTAGCCAAGTCAAGCAACGTACACAGATAGGACTTCTACTTAAACACTGCCAACTCAGTTTGATACTACGTATCGATGCAATTGAACTAGTAGTTTTCAAGAAGAAGTGGTAATAATAGCATTTTATTTAGTTTTAGCAATAATGACATAATATTCGCCATAAATAGAGAATTTAAGATGTCATCAAGAACAAATCTGACAGTGTCCTAAAACACTTGCATACCAAGTATCATGCATTTGATCTGGTAGATTTCATCTTTTATGACAGTGGAAATGAAATAGGACACCTGAGACCAAGGAGACTTTCAGTTCATTTATGCATACTATGATACCCATACCTGACAATTATCTTCAAGTCACGTCGGACATACGCTAAATAACTTACACTGGTTTTCACACCTTTGATATAAGAATCAACCCCTACATACAATTATATATTTCATACTTGTCAATTGTTCCACTTAAAATTACTGAAAATACTGCAGGTTAGACTGACTTTGGTTAATATTGATATTATATTAACAGGAGAGGTATGTCTTGCCCACTTTCTAATTGGAATGTTTGTTTTTATATATTTGCGTGTTTGCTTTGAATTATTATGTCTTAAATGAATCCTCCAAATAGTCATAACCGATCGTCATTCCTATATTGACTGACAAGGAGGCAGCACCTGAATTTTTCTTGGGGGATAGTGAGATGCAACTGCTCCACAGACTGTCACAGTCTCAGATGTACCTGCAGAAAGCACAACCCTGATTGTTCTGCAGTTTGTGGTCAATGTCGAGGATCTGGGAGCACAAATGTAGTTTAGATATCTGATTACATTACTTTAATCAAACAATAAACTTTCGGACAGAATTATAACTATTTAATACAGTTTGTTAAACCAAAAATATAGTTTATAGAGTTAAAAGTTTACGTTTAAATGGTCTATTATGTATTTAGCATAGCATATTCGTAGATCCAACCAAGGTGTTTCATTTTCTAGTTTTTTTAGATGTGACGGTCATGTTGGATTTATGCAAATGAAGCATCCGTCTACCCAGGATACCATTTACTTACACAATTTCTGTACTGTACGATTCTGTTTAAAATTGTATTCTAGCATCTTAAACTTATTTACATCTTTTCTGTACTGTACGATTCTGTTTAAAATTAAAATTGTATTCTAGCATCTTAAACTTATTACTCATGGCACATAGAAGAGAAGCCGGAAGAGAAGTCACATTAAAATTATATTATATTATCGTGGCCATATTGGATTTATGCTAATTTTTATCTACCAATCGACACATTTGGCACTATCATATCTTTTCCGACTCAAAACAGTGCCATAGCGTTATGAACTTTTAAAATACCTCATCTAGAATTAAAGATATGTTCAAATAGTTATATTTCCATGTAAAAATATGCAAAACGGTCATTTTGAATATATGCAAATTAGATATATTTCGGAAGCCTAGATTTCAAAAGACTTTTAGTATGTGAATCTAGATACCTTTCCGAAAAGCACTGTGAAGAAATTATTTCTGTTTGTGACAGATTTGCCCCCTTTTTTGCTAGAATGACTAGACTATATGTATTGATAGCAGTAAATCTGTGTCATGTTCAATTATACACACTACCTACAAATTTTATGTTTGTTGAAACAGAAATAAAATTGAAAAAAAAATCACCTCACAAACCACGAAAAAACTGCAGACCTCACGTCATTATATTATGAGTTGGCTTTTGAATAATTTCACATAATTCTTTAAAACTAATTTGCTGTATTTCGCGTGAATTCATTGGATGTTTACTGATCACTTTGTACAGACATAGTACAATTCCAAGAAGTGTTACATAGTAATTTAAAAACACTCAATTACAGATTGGTAATAATTTAAACATTGAGCAATGTGCATAGTTGTATCAAGTAAGTGGTAACCCAGTAACAATCTCAAGTATCCGAAAAGCCCTTGCTAATACATCAATTCAGATTCAAGAACGTCTTTGGTATACATCTTAGGTTATTTTTCCATTGACGTTCCTATAGTCAATACCAAACCAAGCGCTGTCATCTTTATACCAAAACAAAACTGCCAGCCTAACCAAATGTGATGAGGACGGTTTCAACCTCAGTATGGTTTATACCATTGTTCTCGTTTATCTGATATGTTAATACTATTCGAGTATAAGTCTCCTGTTTATAAACTTGGCATTATCAAAAAAAGATAGATATTACTCATGTGAATGTTTTGTTCAACTAACCCTGTGCATACGATACCATGCTCACCATCTGTAAATATATGCTCCTCCTCCCACAACCTCTTGGAAACATCGTCAACATAGTACTACAAGATACACACCAAAGTACTGAGTGTGTTTCATTTCAAGTCACATAATTAAAACTTCCTCTATTTTCAATCTATCTTGTTAACAATATTTCATTTAGAAACCAGATCATCTATTTCTGCAATGGTATCTAACAGTATATCTTCTACATTATATATAGTATATATTTGTTTATTGTCTTCCACTATGCACTGTCAATAGCTCTTGACTATGTTGAAACATGGTTTGACATATGTAGTATTAACTGCAACTACATTTGGTTCTAAACCCATTGAACATAACCTTGTTGACTAACTGTAAACACATTTTGTCACGGATGCCTAATGATCAATGTAGAAATAACCTATAGATCGATTTACTTAGATAGTGTAGAATAATAAGTCCAAAAATAATCTTCGAAAATAAAACCCCAACAATAACTAATGCGTATAGTACACAACATAGTCATATCAGTAAAAATGTTAAATGAACTTGATAGTAAACACGTACAAGTGTTTTGAAATGAGTAAGCACATGGACTACATCAACCATATATATTAGTCATAATAATAATAATGTTATTTTGTGACCGTTCACTTATGTTACATGCATATTTGTCCACGGCAGTGTCGTTCTGGCCGCAGCAAATGGTCGAAATAATTTGCATGTGGAACAATAGGATCGTTGCTGCCTGCTATTTGAAATTAAATTGAAGCTCCAGAATTGAATAAAACCACAGAAGAGTGTATTATGTTTTTCATGTTATCGGTACAGAGAATGTTTAAGAAAATCGTCACCAAATAAATGAACCAGACGAGGATATTACGCAGTATTCTCCTGATAACCCCATGGTATTCAGATCACTGTCCCATTCAAATAAGTTTAAACTATTCTTAGGAGAGGTATGTTTATTTATTTGTTGTTGTTAATTTTCTAACTAATTTCTTTTTTTGTGTGCTTTCCCATGAATATTCAATACAATTTTTTAGTGATGATTCTTCCAAATAGTATAAAACATGATGCATAATATATTGATGGTGTCTTTAAACAAATCCATGTTATCAACATTGTTTCATGAAATCAAAATAACTAATACTTTTTTAACAGCCCATTAATGAATAGAAAATACGAAATTTTAAGAAATTATTTAAGTGATAGTACAGATTAGACTCATTTTCCTTAAAGATGATATTTGAATCTCAAAAGAAGTATGTTTTGTCCACTTTCACCCACAATTTCTTTCAATGCTCCCTCCTATTTAATCTTGGTTTGATTTATTTAGTTTTAAGTGAAGTGAATTCAAATAGTTCAAAATATATATAATATATAAAAATGTTCAAGGAATGACTACTGTCACCCCTATGACGAAAATGGGGTTCGCCGATATAAGCGCAATTTAAAATAGGAACAAATCATTAATATGCCGGTAATATGTGGCAGTACTACTATAACGTCATCAAAATTTCCAAATGTGTTTCAGAATTAAAATTTTACATATACTAATTATTTGTTTTGGTTGAAACAAATTTCTACCTT